ATGCAGGGCTCGAACTCACAAACTGTGAGATCATGACCTGAGCCAAAGTTGGACACCTAACCAACTAAGCCACCTAGGCGCCCCATACGGCCTCAACTTAAAAGAATGGATCAGAGGGGCGCCTGGGTGGCTTGGTCGGTTAAGCGTCCGACTTCGGCTTAGGTCATGATCTCATGGTCCGTGAGTTCGAGCCCCGCGTCGGGCTCTGTGCTGACAGCTCAGAGCCTGGAGCCTGCTTCAGATTCTGTGTCTCCCTCTCTCTGACCCTTCCCCGTTCATGCTCTGTCTCTCTCTGTCTCAAAAATAAATAAACGTTGAAAAAAAATTAAAAAAAAAAAAAAAAAGAATGGATCAGAAAAAGTCTAAATGAAATGGAAAATCCAGCACAGATTTTTCTGTGGAGCCTAGGACCCAGCTTCCAACTGCCTGCTGAGCAGCTCCAGGAAGATGCCTTACACGGGGTCCTTAGAATGAAGAATCCCAGATGGGATAGGGCGTCCTCCACCCCAAACCCACCTGCTCCTCCTGTACTCCCTAGTTCAGGAGTAGCATCTGGTGCTCCTCCTTTCCAGGAAGCTAGAAACTATACTTGCTCTGTCTCCTCAATTTATAATCCTATGATGTAAAATTATTACCACCATTTTACAGACAAGGAAACTAAGGTCTTGCTACATAGTGGTAGAATCAGGTTCCAGAGTCTGTGCTCTTTTCTTTCTTTCTTTTCTTTTAAGTAATGGGGAACTTCGAGTGCCCAATGGGGGACTCGAACTCATGACCCTAAGATCGGGAGTCAGATGCTCTATCAACTGAGCCAGTCAGGGGCCCCCTAGAGTCTGTGCTCCTGAGCACACCAATAAAATGCTTTGACATTACGTCTTCAGATCTGGACCCATGGCCAGCACCCTATTCTGGAAACCAAGGCCTCCTACAGGGCTCAGAGATACAGTCCTCTCACTGGTCCTCAGTCCCCACACCCCATGCCCAACTACAGTCCTGTATATAAGCTGAATATCTGGTGACATCATTTTCCTGATAAGAGTCCCTCATCATCTTGTTCACCATTGGGTCCCCAGAGTCTGGCACTTAATGAATGTACCAATACTTGATTGAATGTATGAATCTTTTGAAACAGTCCAGTCTAAGAGACTATTGGGATTATGTGATTGAAATGGTTTTGAAGCACCCAGGACTCTGAACAGGGCAATCTGGGTGGGACCTCAGAGATGATGTGATGGACAAGTAATTATAACTCAGAAGGCACAACAAATTATACAGTATCCATTCTGAGAAAGAATGGGCCAAAGAGGATAAGAGAGAGGGACTGGTGTGCAGGGGGTAGAGGAAACGAATTCAAAGAACAGAAACGTGACACTGTGCCTCCTGGAAGGAAGGTGTGCCAAGCAGCCCCCAGGGAATGATGAAATTGATTCACTGGACTGTTTCATTGCCACTGCCATTGGTACAATGGACTCTAGACTTTAGTCTCCAGAATTTGGCTTAATGTCTGCCAGGGCCAGGGTGGCAGTCACCTCTGGGTGTCCTCAACAAACCTAGCTTCTGCTTCTGGGAACTGAGGAGCGGACCCTGACACATGGGATATGTTCAAGTGCTGTGTCCCTTCCCCACCCGCACCGCCTCCACGAGACCTTCCTAGGCAGCCAGCCTAACCCTCCCTGGCAGGCATTTCAAGTTTGTGAGTCCTCAGACAGGTCCTTTCATTACTGTGGGGCCTCACATTCCTCTCTGGAAGATTGGGGTTGAACTAGATGCCTCCTAGAGGTCGCGTCATCTCAGTGTTTGGGGCCTGGTGTCCACGGAGCATAGCCATGGCCCCTCGCGCACTCTATCCCATGGTGTTTCATTCCTACTCGTAGTCAGAAACAGACTCTTAGGCTGAGAACTTGCCAAGAAATACAGACCCTCGCCCAAGCAAGGCTCAAGGACGAGCCCTTCTCAGCATTTGCTCAGACATGATCAGAGGCAGGGCCTGGGGTGGGCACTGAGCTGGGTGGGCATCAGGACGACCTGGGTTCGGGCCAGCCTCAGCCATGCCACTGACTTTCAGGGTATTTCAGGCATTTCTCTACACTCTACTGTCTTCACCCATAAAATGGACATTAAACACTTGGACACTAGGTGGGCGATTCCCAACCTAGGGTCCCCAGAGACTTCCAAAGGGAAACAAGATAGTTAAAATGGAGAAATCTGGTGGACAGCACCACCTATGCAAACTCAGCATCAATAATGGACCAAACCGGCATTCTGTGCCTTCTGATATGATGCAGTGGGAATATCACACATGCAGTATTCTTGCCCCCAGACATGTTTCATCCAGTTCTAACCATGAGACAGTCGGATCCAAATTAAAGGATGTCACTGTCATGAGAGAAAGAAAAGGCAGAGGATAACTGGTCGACCTGATGTACGCCTCTTGTTAAGATTCTAGATTAAAAAGGGGCGCCTGGGTGGCTCTGTCGGTTAAGCGTCCGACTTCGGCTCAGGTCATGATCTCGCGGTTTGCAGATTTGAGCCCCACGTCGGGCTCTGTGCTGGCAGCTGGAGCCTGGAGTCTGCTTTCGGACTGTGTGTCCCCCTCTCTCTCTGCCCCTCCCATGCTCATGCTCATGCTCTGTCTCTCAATAATAAATAAACGTTAAAAAAAAATTTTAAAAAAAGATTCTAGATTAAAAAACACGGAGAGAGTTTAATATGGAATATATATTAGGCAATATTGCATCAATTTAAATTTATTGAGTGTGATAATAGTGATAATAGAGGAGAACGTCCTTGCTTTTGTGAGATAATAGCTCATCTGGTCAGAGGAAATTGTCAGCAAACTTGCAACTAACTTCCTGTAAGAGAGAGGGAAAGAAAGCAAATGTGGCAAAATGTCAATGGTTGACGAATCTAGGTGAAACGTTCATAGGTGCTCATTGTATTCCTCTTCTAATTTTTCAGTAGGTTGAAATTTTCTGGAAAAAAAAAAAAAAAAGGTGAGAGGGAAAAAAGCTTAACAGAAATTGTACCCAGGATATGGTTGCTTTGAGTTGATCACTAAAAAGCAGAGCAAACATTTGAGCTTTTACCACATGCCACACACTGTCAAGAGCTTTATGTGAATTATTTCACTCACTCCTCATATCATTCTTATGAGGAGGGACTATTAATAGAAAAGAAGATCCTAGGGCACAGAGGGGTGAAGTAATTTGCTCAAGGTCACACAGCTAGGAAGCAGCTGATCCAAGAAATAGTGGCTTTAGGCCTGTTCCCTTTTATTTATTTTTTAATGTTTATTTATTTATTTCTGAGAGAGGGAGAGAGAGAGAAACACACAAGCGGAGGAGGGGAAGAAAGAGAGAGGGAGACACAGAATTCAAAGCAGGCTCCAGGCTCTGAACTGTCGGCACAGAGCCCAATGCAGGCCGCAGGGCTCCGACTCACAGACCGTGAGATCATGACCCAAGCCGAAGTTGGGCGCTTAACCGACGGAGCCACCCAGGCACCGCAGGCCTGTTCCCTTTACTACCTTCTCCTAAATTAAGTCTCTCAAAACATGGATTCTCCAGGATGAAAATAATAAAGTTCTGGGAGAAGAAAAAAGGATCAGTGATTGTCAGAGGTTAGTGGGGAGGCGGGAACGAATGGGCAGAGCACAAAGGATTTTTAGGGCAGTGAAAATACTCTGTATGATACTATATTAGTGGATACATGTCCTTATGCATTTGTCAAAACTCATAGAATGTGCACAGAGAGTGAGCTCCGATGTGAGCTAGGGACTTCGGGTGACTGTGATGTGTCTGTGGGGGTGCATCGGTTGTAACAAGTGGACCTCTCCAGCGGGGGAAGCTGACAGTGGAAGAGGCTGTGCAGTGTGGGGCCAGGGACGGTACAGGAACGCTGTGCTTTCTGCTCAGCTTTGCTATGAATCTAAAACTGCTCTAAAAAATACTCTGTTTTAAAAACACAGCTACTGGGGCACCTGGGTGGCTCAGTCGGTTGAGCACCCGACCTTGGCTCAAGTCATGATCTCGCACTCCGTGAGTTCAAGCCCCGCATCGGGCTCTGTGCTGACAGCTCAGAGCCTGGAGCCTGTTTCAGATTCTGTGTCTCCCTCTCTCTCTGGCCCTCCCCCTGTTCATGCTCTGTCTCTTTCTATCTCAAAAATAAATAAATGTTAAAAAAAAAAAAAAAAAAAACACAGCTACTAGGGTGCCTGGATGGCTGTTAGTTGAAGCATCTGACTTCGGCTCAGGTCATGATCTCACAGTTCGTGAGTTCGAGCCCCGCGTCGGGCTCTGTGCTGACAACTCAGAGCCTGGAGCCTGCTTTGGATTCTGGGTCTCCCTCTCCCTCTGCCCCTCCCTTGCTTATGCTTTGTCTCTCGCTCGCTCTCAAAAATAAACATTAAAAATTTTTTTACATAAAAATAAAATAAATAAGTAAATCTACACTCTCCTAGATTCCGGACACAATTCAGGTCCGCCCACACAACTCACGTGAGATTTGAAAGTGGAAGGATGGTGGGGGCTAAACGTCTAACTACCTCTCCTTTGGTTGGCAAGTCTGCTTTTACCTCAATGGTGTCAGCAAAACTCAAGGGTCCAGGTGCTGGCTTGGTGGGTGTTGAGAGGAAGGACGTGGGCACCCAGTGTGCCTGGATCATGTCAGGCACACCGTGCTTCTGGAGCTGCTGGAAGAGCGGTTTCACGACTGGGGTGTCTTCTGAAGTCATCGTTGGCAGTGCCTTCTGATTGCAGAAGACACAGCCGCTCTCTTGGTGGCCCAGTTCCTCAGTGTGACTTACGGAGACGCTCCGAAAAGCTCAACCTAGAGCCTCAACTTTCGCAGTGATTCTGTAAGTCAGGTAATATCCAGTCAGAAAGCCCCTCCTCTTTATTTATTTCTTTTTTTAATGTTTATTTATTTTTGAGAGACAGAGACAGAGACAGAGTGGAGCAGGGGAGGGGCAGACAGAGGCAGACACAATCCGAAGCAGGCTCCAGGCTCTGAGCTGTCAGCACAGAGCTCAAGGTGGGGCTCAGACCCACGAACCGTGGGGTCATGACCTGAGCCAAAGTCAGACGCTTAACTGAGTAAGCCATGCGGGCACCCCTCACCCCCTCTTCTTTAAGATGGCTAGAATGGTTCTCTTCTCCTCAGGTCAATCCTGACTGATAGAACTAACACCATGCTAGATGCATCAATTTCTGAATAAACATGTCAGTCAAATGAAAAGCATATCCTTGGCACCCATTCTTTTCCAGGGGCTTTAGCAAGCACTCAGGGTCACACAGAGGGCCCTTGGCCTCAAGGAATTTGCTGCCCAGCAGAGATGCCCAGCAGAAAAAAAAAAAAAAAAAAAAAGGAATGCAGGAATTCAGAAAAGGGGAAAAGTAACAATAACTCGAGGACGTCCGCAGTTTTGCCATCAGCATCCATTCACCTGTCTCCCGGTAAGCATGCCTCTGTTTCCCTCTAGAGGAGCCTGGAGCCCATCCATCTGCATATCCAAAGATTCAAATGATTTAGGTCTAAGCTAAGCCATGGACTCTGGCCCTCTGGACATAAGACTGGCTCAGGAATGGGCACCTGACCCATGTCAAGCCGATCAGGGACACCGTGTCTCGATTTCAGGACTAAATTTGGGCTTTGGAGAAATTAAGACTCATTCTTTCACCATGCCTGAAACTTGGAAGAATGTTAGAGCTGGAACTACCATGTGGTGCCTGACATTTCAGCCTTCATAAAAGAAGGCAGAGCCAAGATTTAGACAAAAGGAAAATACTGACATTAGTTGAGCTATTAGTTAACCTTCCCGTAAATAAGATCACCTGGCCTTTTGGATTACGAACCAAAACTTCCATTTTTTTTTTTCATAAGCCTGTTTGGGATGGAATTTCTTACCACACGCAACCACAAGTGTCCTCACTGATTCGGAAGGTGTTCTGGAGGCAACAGAAGGAATGAGACCCTGAATGACTGATGGAATCCAGGAAAGAGAAGAGATGGGAGGACATTCCAGGCAGAGAAACCGTCCATGGAAGCCCATGGAATGGGGTTCCCATTAGTTCTTGAAGACCCAGCATCAACTCCTGGCTCTACCGGCTGGTAGTCTTCTAACCCTTACTCTCTCTCCAAGCCACAGTGGCCTCTTGAATCAAATGAGCTTAAAGGCATCAACTTCCCAGGGCTGTGGAGATAAAGGTCACGGTGCCTGGTGCAAAGTAGACGCTCAGCACATGACTGCTGAACAAACTGATCATTTTGGCCAGAGAGGAGATTGGAACAGAAAAGTCATATGTGATAAGGTGTGCAAGGGCAAGAAGGTTTGTCTATTGACCCCTGCTAGGAGCTTTGATACTTATCTCCAGTCCTCATGACAACCCCATAAGGCACTGCCATACTATTTCCAGATAAGGAAACTGCGTCTCTGAGAAGTAAGTTAGTTTGTCCAAAATCACATAGCTGACAAGCCCAGGAGCTATAATCCAGTCTGACTCCACACCCATGCCTTTCCCCCCATAGTAACTGCTGCCTGTGGACAGGGTCTGAGACCCCCAGGGGCCTCTAGTAACAGCCAAACAGAGTGGCCTTTCCTCGGCAAGTAAGAGCAAGCTGCCCAGCCTGGGCAAATACGGGAAGGAGTGTTTCCATCCAACAGTAGTTGATTCACAGGTGGACCGAAAGGCCAAGCATGGCAGAGAGAAGACATTCCAACCAGCCAGCTCTCCAGGGGTGGTGTGGACACTAGCTTGGGAAGAGTATAGAGGGAACCCAGAACTTGGGGAAGGGATGATCTGAGCTACCCAGAGGCCTGGGTCCCTGCGACCAGCTGCATTCTGGGAATCATGCCATCCCCAGAGGGCCCTGCTGGCTGGCTTTAGGGAGAGGCCAGGAGGAAGTGCAGATTGGGGCCCAAGAGCACCCCCGCCCAGTGCCAGTGCCGAAGAGGAAGATTTGCATCTGTCTGGGAGGAGGTTGTTTGTATTCTCTTTTCCCTCTCTCTCTAGCCCTCCCCTTCCCCCCCGGCCAACAACTCGTAAAACCTGCAGGGCTGATGCCCAGCCTGGGTCCCTTCCTCTGACTCAGTGGCAGGGAAGGGGAGTGTCCCAGAGAGCCACCCACATCCCTAGCTGGCAGCCTGGCCCCCAGGGTCTCTGTGTCCACCAACTTCCCCTGGGCACACTTGTTCTTCTCGGCTTCCCCTCAAGATACAAAGGCCTCCAGGCACAAACGCGCCCAAACAATCGGCTCCCTCAGGCCTCCGGCAATCAGGATGGAGGGTGTTAGCAGGCCCTGACCGTCCTCAGCACTTTAGCTTTTGCCCATTTCATCTGCCCCGGCTCGCCGGATTCCTACATCTGCTCTTGAGGTTGGTAACACACCCATTTTACAGAGGGGTAAACTGAGGCCAAGAAAGGGAGAAGGATTTGCCTAAGGTCACAGAGCTAACAAATGGTGACCAGAATCCAACTCTTTTGACTCCCAGCCTAAAGGGTCATATCCAGCAAAGGTACACATACCGAGGATGCTGCCCTGCTCACCAATATGAAAGCTTGTATACTTGCCACCCCACCCCCACCGTCTCTGGAAGTTCCTTGGGTGTCATGTAGGTGCCCACCGCCAGTCTGCCGATGTTTCTTCTGCTGACCCCCTGGCTGATGTCTGCTGGGTACTGGGCAACTGAGGCAAGGACCTCATCTCTCTCACTGTCCGGGGTACCCCACGAGATCCCTGCTTCTCTACGAAGGCTGTGATGCCTGGAGCTGGCCGAGGCGACAGGCCCTCAGTCCTCACCAGAAGAAAACGGTTCTGTGCTCTGAGCCGAAATAGGCAGAAGGCCCCTCTCTCTGACTCATGTCCCGGTTTGCAGCCTGGACCCCAAAGAACCCTCTTAGCTGTTCCCTGCAGCCCTCTCTCTATGGAGAGTAAGGGGTCAGTGTTTCTTGTCAGCTCGTCCCCATTCACTCACTGACAGTAACAGCCCCTACTCAGGTTATGATTCCAGGACAACCACCTCCTTCGCCATCATGACCACACACGCTCCCTGTGAAGATCCCGGTCCCACACACCCACATCCGGATCCCAAGGAGACTGTGTCCCACCCCCTCTTAGTATACTCCATCCCCCTGATTGTCACCGGTTAAGGGAAGGGTACACGACCAAAGTCAGACCAATCAGAGCCAGTGAAACTCAGTTCCAGCATTTTGAGCTCTCAGCAAAGCAGACTGGTTCTTTGCCCTGGGGGGAGAAGGCGTGAGGCTTAAAGCTTCTGCAGGCATCTTGCCCCCAAGGTGTGGAACCTGTCCTGGCTTGAGCTGTTACCTGGAGAAGAGCTGAGGCCAAAGACAACAGGGAACACCGGGTCTTGATGACATCATTTAGAGTTCCTGATGAAGCCTTATCTGAAGCCAGCCACACCACTTGGACTTCATTTCCAAGGCCAGCATTAAGCAAAAAATAGGATTTGCTTTTACTTCCAACCAAAATTCTCGTGATACAGAAGGTCAGGCCTGTGCCCCTTTCTTCTCTCTCTGCCCCACCCCTACTACTCACCAAACTTCCTCCTCAGAGGCCTACCTACCTACCCCCATGCAAATAATGCACACAAATTGATACCCAGGATCACCGCTACTGGTCCATAAGTTCCTCTGTGCTATTTAGGACTGTTTGTGCCATATAGAAAAAGCTGTCCCATTAACAGTCCCCTGTTGGCTTGGTGAGGTGGGGACGAGTAGAGAGGAGAGTAGAGGGTAGAGAGAACAAGACGTGATGGCAAACACTGCCTCTGCCCAAGTGGATCTGGAACCCCAAGTCTGCCTGCCTTCTGGGGGATGGTACCCACAGCAGGACTCCGCCCAGGGCTCAGGAAAGGCATCCTGCCAGACCTGGCCAGTGGGGCCTCCTACCACCACTTCCATTGGGAAGGATGGCTCAGAAGAAAGCAGAGACCACTGATAGAGTTGTGTTTTTGAACGGGCCCTTCCCAGGATGATTTATCCCCGAGCTAAGAGGCCTTAAGCACCCTCGTTTTTCACTGCGTCCTCCGGCTTGGCTCCCTTCCAGCCACACCCCCAAGTAAATCCTTTCCTTCTGAGAGCAGAAGCCTGAGGATGAGTCAGAGCCTCATTCTCGTCATTCCTTCCTCAGTGGTCAGGCCTCACCCCTTCTCCCTGCCAGCCCCTCCTCTGGGCAGCCATCTGCCCCGTGTACAGGGCTCGCTGTGTCCACAGAGCCACTCAGAGGGCCCTCTGAGTGTGAGGCCAGGTGGGCAGGGCTGACCTCTCAGCTCCTGGAGTCTCTTAGGAGATCTGGGGCCTCCAGGGATGGGCTACGGTGATTAGAGTCTGTCCCAGCCCCTCCAGGACCTTCCCTGGGGTCTCTGCCAACAGGCCCTGTCTTCCTCACCAGTGTCAAGTTCATGTCTGTGTCTGTCCCAAAGAAGAGGAACCAAAACCCCTTTAGAGAGTTCCTCCTATGCCCAGGCCCTGCTGTGAACTCCGAGTTCTCATACCCACCCTCAGCACTGAGAGCGCTAGCCACACTTCTGAATGAGGAAACAAGGTTCTCGGGTGGCAGAGCTCACACCTGTGTCATCAGCACATCATCTCTGCTTGTTCAGGCTACACTGCACGCTCCCCAGGGGCTGCAGTTCCAGGCCCCTTCCATTCCCTCTCTGCCCTCACCTCCAGCAAGCTTCCTCCGGGCCTGAGGCTGGTAGGCCCCAAGCCCAGAGTGGATTCTTTCATACCCTTTCGTGTGAATCAAGCATGAGCAACCCCCAGGGGCCTTCCTGCCTTATGTGGAAGAAGGGTGAGAAACCAGATAAGAAATTGTCTGTGTACCAGCACGTCTCTTCTCATGGCCACACCACAGACACCATCATTGTCCTCACGGGGGGGATCTATGCCCCAGAGGTCCTGGAGCTGGGGTGTCAGACGAAGAGAAAAAAACCGAGAGGCTGCCTTGCCTGCCTACAGGAGGGTGACGTTTGTGGGAAGAAGCAACTTCTCCCACCAGTTAAAGGAATGCTCTACTTTAAAACAAATAATTAAGGGGGACTTGGAAGCCATGGGGAGCCCCTGCAGTGGCCCTGAGAAAGTTATCTGGGGGGGGTGGTCTGTGAGGAAGGGTCCGTTCAACCTGGGGTGAGTCTCTGAGCAAGGGTTTACCTCAGGCTCAGTTCAAGCCCTCCCTCCACAGTATTAAGTCACTGAAAGAACAGTTTAATAAGCACCAGGTAATCCTGATAGCTCAAAAGAGATATAGAAAAACAGTCTGGGATGGGGCCCCTGGGTGGCTCAGTCATCTGAGCCTCCGACTTCAGCTCAGGTCATGATCTCATGGCTCCTGAGTTCGAGCTCCCGCGTCAGGTTCCATGGTGTCAGTGCAGAGCCCGCTTGGGATCCTCTGTCCCCGTCTCTCTCTGCCTCTCCCCTGCTCATGGTCTCTCTCTCTCTCAAAAAGAAATAATTAAAAAAAAAAAAAGAAAGAAAATCAGTCTGGGACCTTGTAGAATCTTCTAGAATTAGATCCAAGCCTGCTGCATGGCTTTTGATTAGAATCACCTGAGGAGCTTTTAAAGGTGATTTTTTTAAAGGAGCTTCCGGGCTTACTCTAGACCAACTGAGTTATAATCTCAGGATGGGGGCTGGGCAGCTATGTTTTTTCATCTCCTCAGGTTGACTCTACTGAGCTGTGTTTCTCAAATTTCTCTGATGAGAAAAATCATCCAGGGGGCACATAAAAAAAAAAAAAAAAAAAAGAATGGCCAGGCACCCAACCAACCAGTGAGGCCCAGGAATATGCATTTCTCACAGAGGCACCTGGGTTCCAGGGCAAACCCTTCGGCCCAGCCTCCCTCAGCTCATTGCCCCTTCTATCCTCTGTGCTTCACAGAGCGCTTCCCTGACAAGTGCGCTTCCCTGGGACTAAACATAGCACCTGTCTTCTTCCTAGTACTCACCACTCTTTGTGTGTCCGCGCCTTTCTGTGTGCGTTTCATGTCAGTCTCCCTCCAGACTGTAAACTCCACGAGGGCAAGAACCACATCTGTTTGGGGCTAACAGTGCGGGATCTGAAGGCTGACCTGCCTGGCCTCCAACCCCAGCTCCACGACTCACCTGTTCTCCCATCTTGGTCAAGTTCCTTCTCTTTCTTGTGCTCTCATCTGTAAAGTGGAGATTCAGATGACAATGCCTGCCACACAAGGTTGATGTGAGAAATAAAGGAGATTACAAACGTAAAATGAGTTGTTTTTTTTTTAATTAAAATGTTTAAATGTTTATTTTTGAGAGAGAGAGAGAAAAGCGAGCAGGGGAGGGGCAGGCAGAGAGAGGGAGAGAGAAAGAGAATCCCAAGCAGGCCCCACACTGTTATCGGCAGAGAGCCCCAGTCGGGACTCGAGCCCCAGAACCTTGAGATCCTGACCTGAGCCGAAATCTAGAGTCGGACATTTAACCAACTGGCCACCCAGGCGCCCCACAAATGTAAAATATTTAATATAGTTGCTGGCGCATAGGCAGTGGTCAATAAATGTTAATTACATTGATTATCGTTGGCTACAGAAGAAACACTCCAAAACAGTGGCTGGAAACTATCGCCGTTGAACGGCTCACAATTCTCTGGATTGGCGACTTGGGCAAGGCCTGGCTGGGATGGCTTGGCTCTGCTACCAGTGGTTTGGGCTGGACCCATGCTAGCATTTGCAGTCAGTATGCAGCAAGTTCATGGCTTTTGATCAGTGAGTTTGGGGGAGGGGAGCAGGGACAACATCAGCTTGCCCAGGAGGAGTCAGGAAATGTATACTACGTTTCTGTCCCTGTCCACCAGCCTTCCTGTTGCCTGAAGGGGAAACCAAGGCCTCCAGGCCTCATGTCTTTTCTGCCCAGGAGCTTTCCTAGGGCCTGCTGAGTCACCCACCTGCTGCAGAGAAGGCACCTATTTTTAGCCTGAGGTAAATGAGCTCACAGTCACCCAGACCACATTCCCTTGTGTCTCTTTGTCACAGCTGTTGCGACTGGATGACTGGACGGGGACTGCGTCACAGGGGACCCCCCTCACCCCCCCATCAAGGTACCTCCATCTCCTTCCTTTCCTTCCTCCGAGATACCACACTGCACGGCAGTCTCTCCCGTCACCGAGTGTGGCACCAAGGGGGACGTAGCCAGAGCGGCCTGCTCCTGGGTGCGGGGAGTATCTCATCACTGGCACCGTTAAGAATTCCTGTGCATCACTGTCAGTGGGTTTTATTATCGTTTTTAACTCTTCTGTGCACAATACACCCCCTTCTTGTGCCCACGCGGCCACTCCCACGACCCCACCCCCGGAGCTGCCACTGCGTGGAAGCTAGGACTGTGGGGCCTGGAGGCCAGCGGACTGATGAAGCTCCACCCCGCTCGCTGTCCGACCCGAGCAGGACCCACAACCACTCCGACCCCTGACCTCTCCCAGGTCACCCAGGCTGGCAATCAGTCACAGGATGTCAGAACAGAAAGGGCACCGAGATGTCATCAAGTGCAGCCTCCGTCTTTACCGACAGGAAAAGGGAAGTGAAGGAGCGGCGGCTTGCCTGTGTGCCAGGTGCCAGAGACCCCTCTCCGACCTCGTTCAACCACAGCCACCTCATGGATAAAAAGCCAGTAAAAAGTCAGTGCTTATGAGAAGGCCACTGCTGGTCAGAAATATTAGCTCCTGAGCCCAGAAGCCCAGCACCTGGAACGGGGTGCAAAGTAGAGTATTTCTCTGTGGGTCACCCGAGACACCTGAGCGCTTGTCAAAAGTGCAGGTCCCTGGGCTCCACTCCGGATTGGGGTTTGAGTCCTAGCACTCCTGCTCATTCGCCGCAGCACTTGGAGGATGTAAACCATCTCTGCCTCAGTTTCCTCACCTGTAAAATGAGGCTAGCCCTCCTCATGTAGATGTGAGAGACAATGCACTCACGTGGGGGGGTGCAGGCAGCACAGTGCCCGGCATATTGGACCTGTGCCCTGGAGTTATTAGCATTTATTTCTCTGACCCCAGGCCTGGGGGCCTGAGCCATGGCTCTAGGCAGCGCTTGGGAAGTTCTGTTCCCCCCACCAGGGCACTGAAAGCAGGCCCTACCTCTTCCAGATCAGCCTAGCTGGGAGCTAGCAACTCCCAGAACTGACTGCAAACATCTGCCGATCTGTGGCACTGCTCTGACTAGGGTCTCAAGACCGGTCCACAATCGATTGGCTGAGGAGCCCCCCAACCTGTCCCCCAACACAGGGGCTAGACGCAGATGGCATTCCGCAGGAAAGCACTCCTTTGATCTCCTCTCCTCCTGTCCCCCTCTGGTGACAGAGCCTGAGGTCTGTCAGACCTTTTTAGGACCAAAACTCTTTTCCCAGACAAAACCTGACAGCACACAGGTCCCCAGGCAAGTGACAAAATCTGCTCTCCATGAGTTGAAGTTGATTTTCTAAGTTCGAACTGCCGACATATTACTGTGCTAATGAAACCGGTGTGAACGCAAGTGGGCTCTGATGTGTGACAATCAT